TGTTTATTTGCCACGCCGGCCACTCCCGGGGGAATCACCGTTCGGTTGGGCGGGCAGAGGTACCGGTATGCGCGGGGTGTTTGTTTTTTGGGTGTCCCAAGTTTGTGCAGGGGGTTGTCCCGAAAGAGATGTTTTCCCCTTTTGGGCGGGCTGTAAAAGTTGGATTGTTCCACAAGGGAGGGGGTTGTAGCCGGATACATGGAGGGAAAGACGTCCATGAGATACGTTTCCAAAACCCCCCATGTTTGGGGGTTGTCACGAGTTGGGATGGGGACCAGTCGAGTTTTGAAAATCGTTTTGGGGGGGGGGGGTCCTTAATATTGGTCCATCCGGTTTTGGTTTTCCCATGGCCCTCGCATGGCATCGTTAAAAAGTGGGGAGGGACCACCCGGGTTTTTCCCCGGCCCAGGTTTTGGGGGGGGGGGGGGGCATCTCTCCGCCTCTTTGGGTACTCATGTAAACGCATGCCGTAGTCGGTAGACCATTGACCTCGCATCCCTAGAATGCCTGGACGGAGCGATGATGTGCCGGGTTTTCGCCGGCCCAGGCTACGTTTCACAAGGATGAACCGAACGCTGGTTGTCATTCTTGCGTTTGCAAGGTTGCAGGGGTGATTTTTTCTCTCTTTGAAGTTACCAGGCATGGCGTTAGCAGCGTGGGATCTCATCACCTGCTGCGGTCGGTGCGGGATGGTGGTTTTCACCAAGTAATTTGCTGTGTTGCCGGGGCGTCCGGTGTTTTGAAAGCCAAACCTGCGAGCGCCCTAGTTTTCCCCTCTGTGTCTAACTCGTTCCTTGCTGTACATATATCCATAGGGTGCGCCGAAGCGTCCGAGGTTTTTGCTACGCACGAGCAAGCGGTATCTTCTTTTTTTTTATTTTTTTATTTTTGCGTCTCTCTGGCGTTTTTTTTTTTTGTCTTCTTGTTGGGTGCATGCACGCGCAGGTGTGCCGAAGCGTCAAGTTTCTGATGCTGCACTTGCGAGACTGCGACGGGAAGACCAGGAACGGAGACCCTTGTCCGATGCCGTGGTGCGAGCCTTGCATGTCCCTCCTGCATCACCTCATCCAGTGTCCGGAGTCGACGGGATGCAAGGTGAGCCACGCTACAAAGGCTTATTGCTGTTGCTGCCGTTGCTATTCTATGTTCGTCGTGTATCCTGAAACGTCGAAAAGTTGTGGTGTATTTTTCCCGCACTTGATGGCAACGAGCAAGGAAGGATCACGCCCTTGTTTTACAGCCGTACGACACTTGTTTGTGTTGGAGGTGGAGAAATTATATGGTGGATGAACAGGTTTCCTTCGAGGAAAAAAATGTCCGACTTGGAACAACCCACCTTGGGAGGCAACGTGGCTCGTGTTTTACGCCCAGTCGGCACAATAATACACTTCGTTTGTCTCTAACATAAAAGACTTTCCTCAGTGGCTGGAGAATACCACGTACACACCAGTATGGTTTTCCAGTTCCCATTCCGCTGTGCCCAGCGGTTCCACCACGTTTTGTCGTCGTAGTGGCCCCCGCACGCTGCATAGACAGGGGCACGAGCACAAGAACAGGGGTGATCTGCCTAGCCAAACACCGTCAGGTTTCGGACGCCTGAGAACGCTTCGGTTTGCGGCCGTTTTTTCTTGAGAGTAGTGCTCGGCGGCGATGTGCATGCCTTGGGTTGCACGCAAGTTAGCAAACCCCCACGTTGGACCGATTTTCAAGGCTCGATTACTCTGCAGCAAGAACGGCAAATGGATGCTGTCCCGAAAAAATGGCGGCGTCGGAAATCGTCTCGTCGAGAGCTTCCCAAGAATGCATCATTTTGACCGCGTGGTGTGCATCCTCTTGAGTTGTGGCTCCTACGAGGGCTCGATACCACACGAATAGACATTTGACGTTATAAAGTCCCGAGCACCCCTGCCTGCCTCTCTCTCAAGGATTGTGTGGCGAAATCTCTCAGAGCTTAAACGGGCTGGAAATTTATGCCGCACCGTTAAAACGATTAACTATCGATCGTCTCTCTTTACTACGGCACTTGCCCATTGGCGGTTACACAGCGGGGTAACCAACGAACCGTTACACCGTCCACACCGGGAAACATTTGTTTTTTTATGTCAGGAGACTGGCTCTTTTGTTGGGTACTTGAACGCGCGGGGCTGAGCGTTAAATCGTTGTTTGAGCCACGATGTTGAGAAATGTCTGCAGATAGCGCACGCACGCTGCAGGTTGTCGCGAAACTTCTGGATCCTCCCAACTACCCACAGGAACAGCGGGAGATTGTTCGAGATTGGTTGGAACCCTCAGGAAAACGACAATCATGGTAGAACAATTGTGATAGTCTCAAAGCCTAGGATGGCATTCAAGCACGGCTTTCTCCGGTGTGGGCTGCAACGCGCGTGACACGCTGGAATATCGAATGTTCACATCCCCCCCTTCAGAGTGGTTGTGAACTTGTTTAAGAAAGGAGACAAGACTGACCCAGGAAACTACAGGGGTATCACACTGTTGAACACAGTAGGAAAAGTGTTTTGTATGCTGCTGAACGATAGGATAGTGGGAGTATTGGAGAAGGAACGTAGCATTAGTGAGGACCAGGCAGCTTTCCGACAGAAGGAGGTGCGTAGACTACGCATTCACGGTAGGGAGAATCATCCAAGGTAGAAAGAGGGCGGGAAAGCCGACGTACTGCTTCTTCCTGCACGTGAAAAAGGCATACGATACCGTATGGAGAAATTGGCTGTGGAAACAACTGTCCCAAGTACGGGATCAAGGGGGAAATGTGGAGAGTGCTGAAGAAGATGACAGAGTGTACGAAAAGCGCGGTCATACTAGACGGAGAACTGTCTAAATTCTTCGACATTGAGCAGGGCGTCCCACAAGGTTGCACGCTGTCCCCAACACTGTTCCAGGTGTTCATCAACGAGCTGTTGGAAGTCGTAGAGGCAGTCCGGAAGGGAGTAAAAGTAGGAGACACGGAAACTTCGGTGTCTGGAATGCTGTTTGCGGTTGATATTGTTGGTATGCCGGACACCCCTGAGGGACTGCAAGTGCAAATTGACGCGGCGAAGAAGTTTACTGATAAATGGAGATTGTCTGCCAACGTTAAGAAGAGTGCTGTCATGGTATGTATGCAACGAGGTCAGGGAGGAACCAGTAGAACATAGATGGAAGTGGGGGATCGAGGAGATTGCAGTAGTGGACTAGTACACATACCTCGGAGTAGAGACCGCAAAAGACTGCTCGTGGAATGCACACATGTCCAACGTAGCGGAAAAGGGCAAAGCACGAGCAGGGAAGCTGCACCTAATACTCGCAAACCGGCACCTCGATACACGCATCAAATTGACGGTTTTGAAGAGCGTAATCGTACCGCCGCTAGGGTACGCCGGAGAAGTATGGGAAGGAAATAAGAAGGTAGTGAAAGAACTCGAGGCGGCGCAGATGAAAGCAGCGAAAGTCATCCTAGGATGCTCCAAGCGCACAAGTAATGCCGCCGTCAGGGCAGAATTGGGGATTCAATCCCTACGGTCGGGAAGAGGCGCAAGGAAGCTGACATGGCAGTATCGCATGTGCGGGATGGGAGAGGAGAGGTTGCCGAGAATAGTATGGGAGGCGAAGTGGGCAAACAAAAAGAGGGGTAGACAACCCACGGAATGAGTCGTTGTAGAGGACATATGGAAGGGGTGAGACATCGACGAAGATGAAACGCTGGCAACGGAGGGTATACAGGGGTTCAAGAAGAAGATATCTGTTCCTTGTGCCGAGAGAGAAAAACAGAATCTAAGGAAAGAAACGAAGGATAAGGAGGGTCTAGAAGTGTACGGAATGGTGAAAGAAGGAATAGGGTTCAAGGACTACCTACATGGACCAATGGATGCAGGGACAGAGCTTAAGGTCAAATTCAGGACCGGGGACATAGGCCTCGAGAACGTCGACGAAGACATAGGACGGTAGACGACGAAGACGACACGCTCAAATGTGATTGCGGCTTCGAATGCGAAGACCGTGTTCATGTAGTCGCGGAATGTCCGTGGTACGAAGAGGAGAGGGAAGTGTACATGACTGTGCTGGGAAAAGTACAAGGGACGTACAGGGAGACGTTTGAGGCATGGAATAGAGAGGAGAGGACGGTAGCTGTACTGGGGAGTAGGAAGTGGTTTGAAAAGGCGGGAAGGGATATCGTTAGGATAGACAGACTAGGGAAGACATTTTTGAGCCACCTTTGGCAAAGTAGGAAGGAACGATTGGCCATCGGGTGATCGGTCCTGTGGGAACAATGCTCCGTCCTCTCGAGGACGCGTGGTCAATGGTCTAACCGCTAAGGCATGCAAAACATGAGAGTACGCCCCCCCCCCCCCGCCCCCCCCTTCGTTGCCCCGGTTGCTTGCTGTTTTTTCACCTCGCGCGCCCTGTCTTTGCAAACGAGAAGGTTTGCAATCCTGAACACCTCCCACCGCCGCTGCAACAGCTGCGCACCCTTAACCGGTCCTCATCCACGCGCGCCGCTGCGCAGCCGCAGCTGCAGCAGCAGCAGCCGCAGCAGCAGCAGCAGCAACGACAACAACCGCCGCCGCCGCCACCGCCACCACAACCACAGCAACGATAACAGGGTCAGGACCTCATCTCTGCTGCTAGGCAGTAATAGTAGCAAGCCCAGGACCGCCTTGCGCTGGCTAGCGTCATGGCTATGGCGGCGACGGAAGCAACAGCGACGAATACAACGCTTATCGGGCCTTGCAGAGCTCGCACTCTGCCCATCAGCTGTCGGCTAGGCGTTTTATTTGCCTGTGCCTGGCTCAGCTCGTAAACGACGACGACGACGACCAAAGAGCAGATGCATCCAGCAGCAGAGGCGAAGCGGCAAGTTTGCTTTTTTTGGTCACCTTGTTTTTTTTTCGCCTTGCTTCGCGCTCGAGAGTCCAGTGAGCACTTGCCTTTGTAAATTAGCACACGTCGATTTGCACACTTAAGTGCGTGAAGGGGTAGGGATTTTTTTGGTGCATCGCATATCACACCCTGGAATGATATATAGATTATTCGTGATAATTTTTAGTGTCTCTTGTGTTTTTTTCTTGGCGTCCCTTGCTGTCCGTAGACGGCCGCCCATACCAAAGCGATCGTCGGTCCCAGTCCTTGTCAAAGCTTTGCTGTTGTCATTTTTGTCGATTACTCTCCGTAAGTCTTTTTTTGTAAGACGACCTTACACAGCGTATCTGCGTATATCGGATGAGCGGACTAGATTTTTTTTTCCTCCTTAGACTGCATACACACGTAGGCTAAATAGCTCAGATAAACATCCTACCTCATTGTGGCGACTTCGGATGGATGCGCTCTGCTTGGTAACCCTGTTCGGGTCTACCATCTGCTACGAAATTTAGACGCATTTGGCTTGGTTGCAAATTTGAGTGTAGGAAACACAACAGTATTACAGCAGTATGTCATCTCATTCCTGCTGCTATTTTGGTTTTTCGGGACGTGAAGGGACATATACATGTCGTTTTTTGTAGGCTCGCACGAAAGGTGTTGGCGTTCGTTCGGACTTCGATGACGCCACTCCACAGCAGCGACGGCACAAGTCTCCGGAGCGCACGGCATAGAGGCAGAAAACACGCCGGTAGTTACCATGCATGCTATAAGAGTAAATTAGCGGCAAACGGGTGCTATGGTCAGTATTAGGGGTCATTCGTTTTTTTTGTTTCGTGTTTTTTCGGTGTGTGCGTGGCAGGCATCGGGTGTACTTCAAGTACATAGTTCCAGTGTTTTGGCTCCTCTTGATTGAGAAGTTCTTAGTGTTTTCCGTGCTTTGTGCAGTCAGTCAGCGGGGGGGGGGGGGGGGGGGGGCTTGGGT